TGATTCTCGGATTCGAAACTCCCCCCTTTGTATGGGCTATGTTACTGGTTGATTGGGCGGATAAGCATTTACCATCGCTCTTAATCCGACCTCTCATGCATCATGAACTTATATTGGTGTAAGTAGTTAACACAGAACAGGACATGCATTATGAACTTGTGTATGGTTTGACTAGTTCACCAATTATTGACCACGTTAGCCCAGACGTAACTCTAGATCAACAATCGGTTCTATCATATAATTGATGGCTTCGGGGATGCCCTCCAAAAAGGAGAGGCGGAGGATTACTTGCCAACAATTCCAACAAAAATTCCCATGCTGGATAGTGAATACCAGCAGCTTTGGAATTGAACATGTAGGATGGCTGCTTACTAATTTTCACTTCCTCTGGGCAAGGGGCGTGGGCTTGCTCTCAAATTTTCCATGAGTATTTGCACTATAGTATGGTACTGAAAGTCAGTTAGAAACGACCGAGGTTTTTAAATAAAGGTGGGTTGGTACAAATAGCATGGTGAAGAGAGCAGTTCAACCCTTTAACCAACGTCGTTTCACCATGTTCGAGGACAGTATGTTCATGCAATTATAGGCAAAATATTTTGAAAAGTAGTTGTTTATATACTCAGTTGATTGCCTTATGTGGAAGCCCTCAGTATAAACTTTCCTTGTTTCATAAATCTTGTGGCTGCTGCTATGTCATTCTTTTCTAGTAACTTTTGTAATGCCAGTGCATTACAGTGGTACGTTTTTCTACTCACGCACTAGACTAATGTTGTACCCCGTAAGACATCTCCCCATTGGATTGGGTAAGTACAAGGGCAGTGGCCCCAAGGATATATAGACACTTGTGAATATTTGAACCCCGAACTAAACTAACCCTTCAGTAAGGGGCATAGCTCCTCTATTGTATATCAATGGTGTTGTTCCGACGCAGTTTTACATGTAGAACGACATTGTTTTGTATGTAAAATGATGTCATTTTGAAAATATCGTCTCCTGTTGTATAGTAGAGGAATTGGACCCTTTGTTAAGGCGTTTATCAAGAGATTGAGTTACACCGCCAAAAATTGGGCTCGAAGCTCTCACCTTACCAATGAGTCAACAACTGACATTTATGTCTTTCAATTTTTGCGTTCTAAAAAGAGTTGCATTAAGCCGGACAAAAGGCTGATGGCCTGTTGTTTCGAAAGCCCAATGGCTCATCGGGCCATGAATTGGCCGGGCCTGTCACATGACATTCTGGATGCTGCTTGAAGGTTAATGCACCATAGCTATTAAAATTGGATCGGTTATTGAATCATTAGAGTGATCAGATCAATGGTTTATTGGTTTAATAGTTCAGTCAATTGACCTCCTGACTTAGGAGAGCTTCATGTATGAATGATACGGTATACAATTCAGATTCCATATCATCATCGATGGGAAAGGCTACAGCCTTGGGGGCCATACCAAAATTTACCATCATTTAAGGTTATGTTATAATTTTTTTGAGATGTAAGTTATAATCTTTAAAGATCATGATTGTTTATGATAGATTGAGGTTGATAACGAAATTACAATTTTTAAAAGTTAAGTTATAATTCATAAGAGAGCAGTTATAACTGTTCAAAAAAAATTCATGATCGATCATATATATCTGTGATCGATCGTGATCCCTTTGTAACTGGATCCATCAAAGTCCATGAAGTTACAATTTTTTGAATTACAATTTTATCATACAAGTAGTAAGTGGAAGAGGTGTCGAAGGCGGTACCGTAGACTTCCCCATCATCTATAATGTACCACGCGCTTCCTAAACCACAAAGATTCAACAAAAGGCAAGAAAATAAAAAAGAAATATCTGACCATGATCTTGATCGCTCGGAAAGCTTTTGGCAGGCCTGTAGAATAGTCAGGCAGGCCTGTAGAATAGTGACACCAACAAAATAGTCAGGCAGGCCTGTAGAATATATTTCCATGTAGTTGATTANACCAAGTGACACCAACAAAATAGTCAGGCAGGCCTGTAGAATATATTTCCATGTAGTTGATTAGAAAAATATTTACAAATATGATAAAAATATTTACAAATATAATAAAAATATTCATAAATATAATAAAAATATTTATAAATGTGATAAATTTTATTGTATTAAAGAAAGTGGTACAAATAATTTATAATAGTGATAATAATACTCATAAAAATAATAAATTATTCACAAAAAATTATAAAAATATCTATTAATATAATAAAAATTAGAGTTATAGTACCAAAATTATTTTTTTGGTGCCGTACTCCAGTCTTATTTCCCTCCCACTATAGTGGTACACGTACACCCATCAGTTCCCTCAGCACAAAGCTAGGCATTTGGTCAGCAGGTTCGTTGTATAAGTCATTCGCTGGGTCCCTAGTGTGTCTGTCGTACAAGTCTATTGCACACAATTCCCGTATTTAATTGTTAATGCACTATTTATTGCTGATGGAGATATGAATTACCAGCGCGAACGTATAAATATTCGTTGAGGTTGGGATACCTGTATTCGGTACGATATTCGTCAAATATATATCGGATATATTTTTTATGTATTTGATAATAATTAAATATTAAAATGTTTCACAGATATTTTTGTGGTCGAGTAACATATATAATTTTTGAGTTTAATTTTTAACATCTTTTTTCGAATTCAGATACTATATAATACATTAACAAAAAATTCATATTATTTTAAAAGCACATGATTGTTTCTTAAGTATTATTTACAATTACATATCAAAAGAGTATAAAATAAAATTATTACATTATTATCTTAACAAAAATTACTTCTAAATACTAGGTAAATATTAGATTTGATTCCTTTAATTAGTCATGAATATACTATAACGATACGATATATATTTTTTTAAAACTAAAAAAAATTATTAATTTTCTTGATTGTATATTAAAGAACTACTAAAATATATAAGTATTAAATTGGTTGAAAATAATAAAAATATTAAATATATTTTATTATAGTCATATCTTATCCATACCCGTATCCTATTTTTTTAGACTTTGTCGTATCTATATAAGTATCCATACTTCATAGATTACGAGTTTAAAAATTTTAACTACACATGAAAATAAGTAGTCCATCGAACTATTTTTCTTAGGGATCGTTTGACACGTGGGTTTGGGAACATGGGTTGGGGAGTAAACCCCCTTAAAATCATGTTTGACAACTATGAAGTATGTATAAGATTTTAAACTCGATCTGATCATGAAATCCAAGGGGGGAGTGGGCTTTATTTGTGGGTTTGGGGGTTGAACATGTAAATGACATTTATACCGTTATATATCTTATATATCTCATATATATAAATTGGTTAAGGGTACAATACTCATTTATATACAAATATATATTATCATAATAGTTATATATTTTTGCATATATCAAATATAAGTATGACAATATTAAATATTGAATTCTATTTTTGGGTCAAACCTGAGTTTAGACAATCCAATCCAAACTTCTCCGGAAAAATATACCAAAGAGGTGCTACTTCCAAACCCACCCAAACAAACAGGCTCGCAGTCTCCGACTCTTGGCATTTCTCGGATCCTCACCTTGTATCTTCTTTTTTTTTTGTCCAGTCTTTAATCCAAAATTTGCCATTGTCCTTTGGGTAAGATGAAATAGGCATAAAGAAAAGTTAACTTCGTTAATAATGAAAAAGAAAATGTTATTAAAAAAAAAAACATATGCCTTGTATTTATCACCTACTCTTGTGTTTTAAAAATAAAGTAGGAAAGGAAAATACTATGGTATAAGAAAATAATATTTATTACCGTACTAAAAATTTAAAAATACCCTAAAATAAAAAGTTATACTTCCAAAAATAGAAGGTTCTAAGAAGAACTCTTTTCTCGTTAAATTGATACTAATGATATTGATATTAGAGTATCCATTATGTATCACTGCACTTGTACTATTAAACGAATGAATTATTAAAGGAAAAAAACTTGAACTAATAACAAAAAGGGTAAATGATTATTTTTGGACATTGCCCTTTAAATTATAAAATTTTTTATATTATCCCTCAATTATTTTAATTATTTCTTATTGTTTCAAAACATCCAATATCTTTTTTGTATCATAGTCAAAGTAAAAAAATTACATAGTTTTGAGGATAAAATAAAATAATTTTTATTTAAATATATAACAAATATTAATAATAAGGACAATGTGAAATTAATCACATAATTGAAGGTCAAATGAAAAATATATATATAAAAATTAAAGAAGAATCATAATTAAGATGATCAAAATTATTTTGATCTTTTTCACTGGACCTTTTCCTTAATTTTTATTAATAATATATAACAAATATTTATTGTACTTATTTTTTTCCATCTCCATTATTACGAAGACTAAGATTAAGATGAGGACGAGGACCAAAACACGGACAAGGGCAAAGAAGACTAAGATTAAGATGAGGACGAGGACCAAAACACGGACAAGGGCAAAGATAGGGACGAGGAGAAAGAGGAAATGGAAGTAATTTAAACTCGAACCTCAGTATCCACTCTACCTGAAACATTGAAGATTGAGAAAAAAAACAAAATTGCGAGGCATTATAATAAGATATTGATGGCATTTTGTTGCGACACTTTAACTTCAAACCTAAACCAAAGAAGTCAAGCCCTACAAGACAAAAAAGGAAGCACAGAGAGAGTTTTGAAACCGTTGGATTCAAAAGAATCAAACCGTTGTAGATTCCCAGCACAGACCGGCACATACTTGTAAAATGATTCTTTGACAATTGAATCTGGATTTGCTGTTATGACCAATCAAAGTGTGCCTGCAGCCAAACGCTGCCAACATCCTACACTCAACCACAATCGTTGACATCTTTGAAAGTTCAAAAGTTCCATTGTTTGTTCTTTCTCTATGTCTCTCTCCCCTCTTTAACTTTTTGGGTTCTGCAGTAAAACGGTACAGGTGCAGTTTGAGGCCATATTTATTCTCAGAAGGTGAAGATTTTTTTCTTGGAGGAATCTTTGGTTATGATTGTGATGTGAGATATTTCTTGATTATGCCTTGAACAGTGGTTTTTAAAGGTTTTCATGTTTGGTAGGCTAAAATTTTGTGTCTGTTTGTGTGTGAGTGAACTTTATGAGAGAACCCAACCATTGTACGTTAGATGAGCAGATACTCTTTTAGTTTTCTTGAGTAATTGTGCATTCCATTTTCCCTTTACTTTTCCCTGATATGGTGAGTGGTTGATATTGAAGGCAATTGGGTTCACTGATAGATTGTACATTGTCAGTTGTTTTCATTGATTGTGATCCTTCGACTCTTTTAATTCATGTTCATTGTTCTACTATTTATGCCAATTTTGTTTTGATTCGGAGTGTCATTCATATTGTGTATGCATGTGTTTTACACACCTTCCCCATTCTCTCTCTCTCTCTCCCCCCCCAATATGCAGACACACTTCCCCTCTAATTGCTTCTTGTGTTCTGATTATTTTCTGAACTTGATTTATTTTTGAGTTGGTTGTGATGATGTCCAGAATCAAATTGTACATCCACGTAGACCTACTGCAATTTTCATGTGTTTTTTTAGCTTTTTGGTATAATGTATCTACCGAGTTGATAAGGTTAAAAGAAAGGAGCATAACACTAATTTCTTCCTCATCTGTTAGGACTTTGTGGGTATTCCTTCATTGATAACTCTCCCAACTGAAAGGATCTTATCTAGGGGGTTGAAGATGTATGTTGTTGAGAGCAAAGGAGGTGCTATAGTATGTATGCTGTTTTCTCTTTTCTTCTTGGGTACATGGCCTGCTATTTTGACTCTCCTGGAAAGGCGTGGCCGTCTTCCTCAGCACACTTACCTTGATTACACCATCACTAATCTTTTGGCTGCTGTAATCATTGCTTTCACATTCGGTGAGATCGGGAAGAGCACACCAGAGCAGCCAAATTTCTTGATTCAGCTTTCTCAGGTAAGGGAGTTTGGCCTCAAGTGGAAACAGAAAATATCTATAGTGGTATTCACGGGCCTCCTAAATAATGTTATTTGATATTTAGTCTCATGGTTAGTATATCAGTATTTTATTTATGTTTTATGCAGTTTAAATATTGGTTCTATTTGAAATCACATGAAGTAAAACTGAAATATTGTTTTTCAATTTGATTGTCGGGATCTTGGAGATGTTACTTAGTACTTCTTTCTTGGGAGGATGACAAAGTCTCTCCACATGTGGGGTAAGGTTATGTCCATTTGACCCTCTCCAGATCCCACTTTTGGAACCTCATGCACCGGCTCACCCTTTCTTGGGTGGACGAAAGAAGGATACTGCCACAGTAACTAAGGATCAAAATTTCGTTTCAGTGTATTGTTTCGGTCACCTAAGAAACGTAAACGTTTCGATGTATTTTGGAAACGTTTCGACTCATTTCGAAAACATAATGAAAAAAATAAAAAATTTAAGAATTATTTTTCTAAAATATGGATTTAAANAAAAACAAATTGCGAGGCATTATAATAAGATATTGATGGCATTTTGTTGCGACACTTAACTTCAAACCTAAACCAAAGAAGTCAAGCCCTACAAGACAAAAAAGGAAGCACAGAGAGAGTTTTGAAACCGTAGGATTCAAAAGAATCAAACCGTTGTAGATTCCCAGCACAGACCGGCACATACTTGTAAAATGATTCTTTGACAATTGAATCTGGATTTGCCGTTATGACCAATCAAAGTGTGCCTCAAGCCAAACGCTGCCAACATCCTACACTCCTCAACCACAATCGTTGACATCTTTGAAAGTTCAAAAGTTCCATTGTTTGTTCTTTCTCTCTGTCTCTCTCCCCTCTTTAACTTTTTGGGTTCTGCAGTAAAACGGTACAGGTGCAGTTTGAGGCCATATTTATTCTCAGAAGGTGAAGAATCTTTTGTTTTTCTTGGAGGAATCTTTGGTTATGATTGTGATGTGAGATATTTCTTGATTATGGCCTTGAACAGTGGTTTTTAAAGGTTTTCATGTTTGGTAGGCTAAAATTTTGTGTCTGTTTGTGTGTGAGTGAACTTTATGAGAGAACCCAACCATTGTACGTTAGATGAGCAGATACTCTTTTAGTTTTCTTGAGTAATTGTGCATTCCATTTTCCCTTTACTTTTCCCTGATATGGTGAGTGGTTGATATTGAAGGCAATTGGGTTCACTGATAGATTGTACATTGTCAGTTGTTTTCATTGATTGTGATCCTTCGACTCTTTTAATTCATGTTCATTGTTCTACTATTTATGCCAATTTTGTTTTGATTCGGAGTGTCATTCATATTGTGTATGCATGTGTTTTACACACCTTCCCCATTCTCTCTCTCTCTCTCCCCCCCCAATATGCAGACACACTTCCTCTCTAATTGCTTCTTGTGTTCTGATTATTTTCTGAACTTGATTTATTTTTGAGTTGGTTGTGATGATGTCCAGAATCAAATTGTACATCCACGTAGACCTACTGCAATTTTCATGTGTTTTTTTAGCTTTTTGGTATAATGTATCTACCGAGTTGATAAGGTTAAAAGAAAGGAGCATAACACTAATTTCTTCCTCATCTGTTAGGACTTTGTGGGTATTCCTTCATTGATAACTCTCCCAACTGAAAGGATCTTATCTAGGGGGTTGAAGATGTATGTTGTTGAGAGCAAAGGAGGTGCTATAGTATGTATGCTGTTTTCTCTTTTCTTCTTGGGTACATGGCCTGCTATTTTGACTCTCCTGGAAAGGCGTGGCCGTCTTCCTCAGCACACTTACCTTGATTACACCATCACTAATCTTTTGGCTGCTGTAATCATTGCTTTCACATTCGGTGAGATCGGGAAGAGCACACCAGAGCAGCCAAATTTCTTGATTCAGCTTTCTCAGGTAAGGGAGTTTGGCCTCAAGTGGAAACAGAAAATATCTATAGTGGTATTCACGGGCCTCCTAAATAATGTTATTTGATATTTAGTCTCATGGTTAGTATATCAGTATTTTATTTATGTTTTATGCAGTTTAAATATTGGTTCTATTTGAAATCACATGAAGTAAAACTGAAATATTGTTTTTCAATTTGATTGTCGGGATCTTGGAGATGTTACTTAGTACTTCTTTCTTGGGAGGATGACAAAGTCTCTCCACATGTGGGGTAAGGTTATGTCCATTTGACCCTCTCCAGATCCCACTTTTGGAACCTCATGCACCGGCTCACCCTTTCTTGGGTGGACGAAAGAAGGATACTGCCACAGTAACTAAGGATCAAAATTTCGTTTCAGTGTATTGTTTCGGTCACCTAAGAAACGTAAACGTTTCGATGTATTTTGGAAACGTTTCGACTCATTTCGAAAACATAATGAAAAAAATAAAAAATTTAAGAATTATTTTTCTAAAATATGGATTTAAATATATCAAAGTATCATGAAATACCTTGAAACATTTTGAAATACCTCGAAATATTAGAATTTCAATTATATCACTAATTTGTGTTGATTTCCTTGGAAACGGAAACGTTTCAGACGTTTCGACCTTTTCGAAATGATAATTTGATCCTTGACTGTAACTATAAACTACGATTGTATACATTAATTAGAACATTTACATGTAACTCAAAGACGGAATAACTTACATGAGGGTCCCCGAAAATATGAGTGATATACCCATGTCTCATTACTAAAATTGAGAGTGGAAATCAGCCTCAGAAGGTGTATGCTTAGATATAAATCAAGTCAGACATTTTTTTTTTCTGTGAAAAATTAGAACATGTGCTCTTATGTGATGCATCTCACGGTAACTCCATAATTGGAACCACTAGATGCCTTTTATTTTTTCCACTCTGTTGTGATGCTGTCTCTCTGGAACCTTAAATCTCAAGCCATATAGACCACTAAACGTTGGTTTAGAGTAAAGGTCTCAGTAAGTTTCAGTGATTCTTGCAACAAAAGTGATGTGAGTGTATTTCAGAGCAGGTGTCAGTTTGAGATACTCTTGCAACAGAGTGTTGAGATCAATTGTAGTAGTTATCTATTAATTTTCCATATGCCTTGTGGTTTTCATCTCAGTGAGATGATTTTTGCAAATTTTGGCAGTACATCAGAAGATACCGATCTGGGTTGTGTTGTGGGTGTCAATAAAAGCAATGTCTTTGGGTTCATGTTAGATAGGATCTTGTTTAATATTATATGTTTGGGGTGCTGTAATCTGTATTTGTACATTCTTCAAGGTGGACCGAGAGTGCTGATAGAATTTATGAATGACACTCGCTGATTCAGACTGCCTTTGTGTTACTCCTTTGGATGAACTCATTCTTATGATGCGAATTTCGCTTTTGTGGTCTTGAATGTTGCTATTGGAGTTGTTCATGAGGTGGTTCCACATAAAAGAAGCCAGTGTATCTTGTTAATTTGAACCAATCATTTTTTAAACACAGCAAGGTTCTAGTTATTGTGTCAACGTTTTGATTACCTGTATAATTTGTAAGTTGCAACTGTTTTTCATATTCAAAAATGATTGATGCAGGACAATTGGCCAAGCGTTTTGTTTGCAATGGCTGGTGGGATAGTCCTCAGTGTCGGAAACCTGTCAACACAATATGCTTGGGCCTTTGTTGGTTTATCTGTGACTGAGGTGATCACTTCAAGCATAACTGTTGTTATAGGTATCATTTTTTCTTTGAATACGTTCAATGGACTTAATTATTTGTCTCACTATGCCATCTGCAAATGTGTCACATGACATTATATTGGAATCTTACATGTAGCCTTGTGATCAAATTGTAACAGGCACAACATTGAATTACTTCTTAGATGACAAAATCAATAGAGCTGAAATTCTTTTTCCTGGTGTTGGATGCTTTTTGATTGCTGTCTGTCTGGGCTCTGCTGTTCATGCATCCAATGCCGCAGACAATAAAGCGAAACTTGGTAATTTGTCAGATGTTCACAAAAATGGGACAGGGTATAAAACTTTCTAGTATGATTGTACTTTTTAGATAAGATGTGGTCGAAAAATAACAGTTTATGTCACTCATTCTGCTTGTTTTTTAGTTTGTAAATTCGGTTCAGCTAAAAAGGGTCCCCAGTAAAAATGCAAATCCAAATTGATATTATATGGAGTCTTAAGAGTAAGGATCAAAATTTTGTTTCGGTGCATTGTTTTGGTCACCTAAGAAATAAAAACGTTTTGATGTGTTTTGGAAACGTTTCAATCCGAATTCAGAAACATTGATAAAAATAAAAAATTTAAAAATTATTTTTCAAAACATTGGTCGAAATATATCAAAATATCTTGAAATTCCTTAAAACATTATGAAACACCTTGAAATATTATAATTTCAATTCTATCACTGATTCGTTTCAGTATCCTTGAAAACGAAAACGTGGGATTTAAGCAAAGTAGTCTGATATGTACTTCCTTTTTTCCGGTTCATCAAACCGCACTCGCCCCCTTATTTGAGTTAGGGGCTTAATAGGCCGAGTAAGGGCCCATTCTTCCCTTTAGAGATAGGGGCGACATAGCTAGTGCCATTTTTCTTTAAGACGGAAAGTCTTTTCGGATGTTTTGAAACAAAATTTTGATCCTTGCCTAAGAGCATAAGTGCTTTTAGGTGGATCAATTTCCATTCAAACCTAATGTTGAGACTCTCATGGCCTGCTAATTTTTTTGATAAAAGCATCCACAAAAATATTGACAAATATGAAACAATTTTTTGGAGCCTTTTCCTGGATTTACCTTTTCAGCCATGAAACATAACCTCTTGTTTTAATTGTTCTTGTTTTTTGTATGGTTATTTTTTGTGATTTTATAAGAATAAAATACTAATTGCATTGGTGCCTTGTACCAATTTATTAACCACTGAGAGAAACACTGCTTTTATCTCTAAAATGAACTTTGGCAGAGCTGGGACATCTGTGACTATAGTAGAAACATGTCCAAACGCAGGTAAGAAACTGTCTGGAGCTTGCTTTTTATAGTTGACGGGTTGTTTCACCTGCAACGGCTTGTCTCTAATCTTTTGTTCAATATTGAACATCCGTAGTTGCAATGAAGGATCCGGAAAATGGAACTGGCACCAAGGAGAGGGCAGAATTTGGAACCGCAGAATTTCTCGTTGAGCTTGAGAGCAGAAGGTCCATAAAGGTTGGTATACACAAGTTTTAACTCGGCACTTTCAATATCCTATGTGCAATTATATTTATGTAGATCACTGCTCACATTGACGGCATGTAACAAACTCCTGCATTGACTTACATGGCGTACTTGTCTGCTTCTGCTTTTTGTATAAAGGATCATTTTCCGTCAACATTTGAATATTGGTCTCCAACAGCACAATTGGCTTGCTTAGTGTCAATAAGGAGAGCATACTACAATATTCTTCTCTGACAATATTTGAATATTGATTTCCAATGGCATAATTGGCTTAGTGTCAATGAGAGCATACAACAATATTTTTCTGTAACTGTAGGGAATATACATATGTTTTCACTAACAATCTCGAGTTTCTGCATGGATGCATGTCTCCAGGAGTGTTTAGTCGTTAAAATTGATTTGATTCCACTTGCAGGTGTTCGGGAAGAGCACTTTTATTGGCTTGTCCATCACTTTCTTTGCAGGAGTTTGTTTTTCCCTCTTCTCACCAGCATTCAACCTTGCAACAAATGATCAATGGCACACTTTGAAACATGGTGTCCCCCACTTAAGTGTTTACACTGCATTTTTCTACTTCTCGGCCTCTTGTTTTGTGGTTGCCACCATTCTGAATATCAGCTTCCTGTATTACCCTATTCTAAAATTACCTCGATCATCACTAAAGGCTTACTTGTCAGACTGGAATGGCAGAGGTTGGGCCTTTTTGGCTGGACTTTTGTGTGGGTTCGGGAATGGACTCCAATTCATGGGAGGTCAAGCAGCTGGATACGCGGCAGCAGATGCTGTTCAGGTAAGTGCAAACATATCTTTTATATGGACATTAGATACGTTCGCTGAAAATCTTGTTATGTGACTGGTGTATGCTCACCTACCGCAATGCTCATTGACTCATTCATCTGAAATTTGGGTGGCTTCGCAGGCACTTCCACTTGTGAGCACCTTTTGGGGCATACTTATTTTTGGAGAGTATCGGAAATCGTCAAGAAGAACATATGTATTTCTCGTGGGCATGTTGTCTATGTTCATTGCTGCTGTTGGGGTTCTCATGGCATCATCGGGGCATCGGAAATGAATTTGCAGCCTTAAAGATTCAAGTCGTGTTATTGCATTAAGACATCAAAAGTCAAAATTGTTTATAGTTTAGTTGGAACAAAGCAATTGCTGCAGCCATATCTGGTTGGTGAAGATGTGAATAATCAGTGGAAGAAAGTTATACAGACACCCTTTTTTTTTCTTTGGTGTTGGGTGGGGGTGGGGGTGGGGGTGGAGGTGGAGGTAACAGAAAAACAAAAAGAAGTGAAGTGTACTTTGAATCTTTTATCATATGTGACCTATATCCATTTGTAATCAAACAATTTCACTTAATATTTTCTCTGAAATGTGTCTAATTGGGCTGATATTTGAGCCGAGTTACTTGAGTTTGGCTTGGACTCGATCCAAACTTCACTCGTGTTTTAAATAAATTGAGTTTGAACAATTTATTAGGCTCGTTTAAAAAACGAACTTAAAAAGTTTGGTTCATTTATATATAAAATAATTAAATTACTTGGGCTCGGTTCGAATTTGACTTATTTTAAATTCGACTCAGATTCATTTTCTAATTGAGCCGAGTTTAAAAATTTTTTTAGACTTAATTAAATAATCGAGTTCGACTTGATTATTAGCTCTACTCTTGATATCTCTTACCTTCCTACTTTTCTATTATTCCATATATGGGTGACAGCTGGTTTGATGTGTGCTCCTGTTGTGTTGGGTGAATGTCCCTTCGTAATGGCATTGGGTTCCAAGTCCCTGTACTAATACCTAAACCTAAAACTATATATTTCTTTTAACCTAACTTTAAGTATTTAGACAATCCTTCTATCCACTTCTATATCTTCGTCCTGACTTGATCTCGGATAGTCGATCTCCCTTACCTAGTCGATCAAGACCCACAATAATCAAGAGAAAGATGTACGGGGGTGGTACTCGGTGTACTACATCACTAAGTGCGACGCACGACTCAATTTTGGTCCACGAAAAAAAATAAGCCTTAATTGTTGTGCCTAACTAAATGGTTATTAGTTACATAAAAAAAAAAAACCTGATTATTAAACTACTTGCTATGTTGAACTGTGGAGCACCACAAGGAACCCTCATGATTCAAAACCGGAGTTCCACCACAGAAAAAAATGTGGCTTTCCATAGGGAAGTATAACCCTTACCTCTGTGATTGCGAGGTCTGTGGAGATTGGAATGTAAATTGTCTTTGTACTTGCATGTGAAGAGACAGAATAGAGCAATTAAAAGCGGTTTTTCCTTCCTGGGTATTGGGTTTTTTTTTTTGGGTCAAACTTCATTTTAATCCCTTGTGGTATGCTCTAAATGCACTTTAGCTACCTAATATTTAAAAATCTTTACATAACTTTCATGAAGTTTGTGGACTAAAATGCAATCTTAACACCGTTAACGGAAATATTAAAATGACTTTAATACCCCTATTTATTTCCTTCTCTGGCAAAATCTCCTTCTCCGACGGACAAAATTTCTCTTTCTCTCATTTTACTCTTCGTTTCAAATACAATCATACCACCACCATTCCCCCTGCCATTTTTGTACATAAATCACTGCCACACACCAAAGAACCAAAAAATGAATAGAAATTGAAATCAAAACCAAACCAATCATACCACCACCATTCCCCTTCTTCATTATGTGCAGATTGTGTGTGTGTGTGTGTGCAACTAGGTGGATTAGAACCAACATTAAATAGTGAGTTTTGTGAGTGTATGTGTATGTGTGTGAGAGATTGTGTGTTGTGTGG